GGAAGAAGGGGAGGTGCCGAAGGAGCTTCCGAATCCCATTGAGCGGAGCCGGAGGTCAGAGCCTCTGTCACGCCTTTCACTGACTCATCCCGCGACCCTTGCTTAAAAAAGCCCATGGGCCCATGGAGAAAAAAAGATGCTTCCTGTGTTGTGCACGTGGGCACCTCAACCAAGTTGGATCCGTTTTCTAAGGAAGTCTATATGTGGCTTTTGCTTTATAGTATATAGCGGTCGTAAGGGGCCTCTGTGATGATTATGAGCAGTGGCCCAAGTTCATGGTTCGTTGTACGTTGCGAAACGTGCGTTGGACTTGGTTGAATCAGAATTGCGGTGTTGTAAGCGTCTAAGCCACGCTTTGTGCTTGCAATCCCTTTGGCTTTGACAGCCGTTTGCAAAGTCAGTTTAGGGTGATTCCGCTTTGGTGGCACTTCTGAAGCATGTTCGCCTTGTGCAGTCCTCAACTTTGATGACGTGCTTGATGTGCCCCAGACTGCGTGAAACGACAGTCCAAAGGCTGATGGAATTCTACTACCAGTTCGCGTGGAAAGATGCGCCGCTGTCTTGGGTTGGCACCCCTTTCATCATGGGCCTGGAACCTATCTTGTTGAACTTTGCAAAACTTGGCAAACCACCATTGGAAGACCAATCGCTGAACCACTCTAGAATCAGGCGTGTTGTACCTCTCCGCTGTCGTGCTGCTGCGGAAGGCAGCCGGGCACTCAGTGCAGGTTAGAAGCAGGAAGGTCGTGACTTGGTGACTTGTGGAGCTCAGGACTTGAAGTTCAACTTGAGCAGGATTCTCTTATTCCACAATGCGTGTCTCAGCCTGCCCCTTACTCCATGTCCACGGCAAGGTTGCGTCATTCGCTTCTTGTTCGCTGCGGGGAAAGATTTCGTCAGGCGTGGCATCGTTGGTCATGCTGGCGGGCTGTTTAACAGAAGTTGTTTTGCGTGCTGGGCACCTAGCGGCATTGAACGTGATGTGTGCTGGTTTGCAACACTACATTAACGCTGCTTGCGCTTGCGCTTGCTATGTTCCCGGAGACACTTCCGGCATCCTCCAGCGCCGACTCACAGGTTTCTAAGTAGCTGCGTGTGAAGATCCGGGGCCTATTGGTTCAGAATGCTGACAAGGTCTGCCGAGACAAGACGTGGCATTGGCTGCGGACTCCTCAGACACCCTCAGGCTCTCAGGCCATGGTGCGCGGAGACAGTTTCCGTGTTGACACGCCACGCAGGTTCTGCGAAGCGAATGGGCGGCCATCGACAGGCCTAGACCCAAGGTCTCTTAGGTCTCTCGGGAGACATGCCTCGTCAGAGTTGGGGAGCTAACCACCGCAATCTGAAGCCCGTGTGTCAAGGTCCATTGTGTTTCTGGGGATGGTTGTTTTACGCTTGGGGCTCAGCTACCATGGCCTTGCAGGAATGCGTGCAGACACATATGCTGAGATTACCAAATACGTCGAGATGTTGGACACTGTCTTGACGATTGCCAAGGGGGCGAGGCCTTGAAAAAATCCAAAGGGCATCGCAAACCGTTAACCCCCAAATCACAACTTCTCACTGCAGTATCTCCAACTCCCCCTGAGCTCGGTTCCAGGTTGCCACATCTGGCGATCCATGTTTACCACCAGCTCGGTGCCTGTGTAGTCCCGAGCCGTGCCCATGTCAAGGCCCAAGCTTGGCAGATGCCGTTACCTTCAGGTCATGGTCTGGAGTTGCTCGGAGTACAATGTGTCGCTGTTCTTCATAGGCCGTTGGACGCTCCCGATTTGGCAATACCTGGCATGCCCGTGATTTTGAAGGCGTGATGCTTAACACTTGCGCCCACTGTGCTGTTTACCCATACTTCTTCATGAAGGCCGCGGAGGGTTGTAGATGCTTGGCAATGTGACTTTGCTCTGTGAGGTTTCTGACCCTATGCCAGTTTGGGTGTAAACGTATCTCCTCTCACATGACTCGCATGGTCGTATCGAAGCTCATGTGAGCAGTCAGCCGGTGAGTTTCCGGGTTGTCTTGTCAACATGAACGACGTACCCCAAGCTGGCAAGCGATGTCAGCTTTGGGTTCGAACGCCCAAACACACGCCACAGAATACGTCATCATTCTGTGTCGGAGGCCCAGCGCAAGCAGCACGAAACGTGGTACGTGGTACATGGCTGGATTGCATGGAGATGGTTTTATGGTGTTCAAACGCCTCATGGTGCGTTGCACCCCGCTCCAGGTCTGCATGACAGTGTGGATCGGCCCTAGGCCCTGGAGCGGTTTCAGTCGTGGCTTGGGGTCAGCTCCTCCCTCTCACGGTGCCCCTATGCGCTTGTCCACCCTTTTCTCCCCGTTGTTGAACCTATAGGGCCTATAGGGCCCTCAACTGAGGGTGGTGTGCCCGGAGTCTTTGTGAAATTAAATTTGGGCGCCATGTATCTTGTGTTGGATTGCCCCTCAGGAGTGGCGCCTTTGGGACTCTCGTGCTCCAAGGCCTCCAACACACTGCGGATCGCCGCCGGGGTAATGTTCCAAGTTAAGGTTCGTGAGGCGCTTGCACGCGGTGCCTTCGCTCGCGCGTACCTCCACTCGTTTTGAGAGGGGTTGTTCACGCCAAGCAAGGAGCCAAACCTGTGAGAACCTGTGCTCATATTACTTTATGGCAAAGTCCTAGATTCTGAGCCAAGACAAGGGCTTGTGCCAAAATACTTGAGGAGGGAGCTATACTTCCCACGCAAAGCCCAATGTTTTTGTTTTCAATCTCGCGTCAGAATGCTTCGGAAGATAATCTCGGGCGCTGGCATAGTGCGGACTGCTCACATCATGCTCTCGCGGATTCGCGCGATGTCACATGCGCAACGCCCTATCTACTGTCAAGGCTTGGTGCAGACCGCATACACCACGGTCGGAGCTGTGTCTTTTTTTTGCGCATGCCAGGGCCTTGGGCTTCCAACGTCCGCGCCTAAGAGTTGTTGGCAGCTTCAACACCATAGGCGTTCCTACCTACGTGGGATTAGGGTTTGGGTTTGGGCAGTTTGGAGCGCGGACGCAGCGCAGATCTCCTGGTGCCTTCTATGCCTGCAAGGCCGTGGAAGCGCCTGGTGACCTTTGCGCAGAACGTGCAGTTTTGTATTGGCCTGGGATGTCTCATGCCCTTGCTCTGGTTTCAGCGGGAGTGGTGCATGCACTTGCTGTTGTACTGTTCTAGGACCTAGGTTGCCAGCAGCCAGCAGGCACGTCAATTTCAGCGCGCAGGTGCATTCTGAATGCTGTGCAGGACACTTCCTGCTCTGGCATGGCAGCTTTGTGGGTCAGCTCCTAGTGCAGTTCGCCGTTCAATCCTGCGCCATCTTGTTTTTGCTCACTGCAAACTAGTCGCTTGTTTCCTGCAACGATGGCGTCAGGCCAACGCGGTGGTTTACAGTTCCTTCCTGCCGCTTTTCCTCAGTATTTTGAACAGTGGCCATGAGCCAGGGCAAGCTGCAGAACAAGGCTTGTCGGGCCTTGCCGTAAGTGCACCGGGCATTTTCTTTCATGGTGAGTTTTTGGGACACGGCCGCAGGCCACATCCTTTTACAGGCTGAAGGTGCGGATCGATCTTCCAAGGCTTGCGCGATCTTCTTGCTCTTGCGTGGGTGAGACCATGTTCTGCAGCAGGTCGCTGCTGGCGAGCGAACCGGGGTATGTGAGTAGAGTCTGAGTAGACTGAAGTATGAAGAGTAAAGATATGGAAGAGAGGAACCGCAAGCGGGCATCAACATGCCATCCCGATCTGAGTGACGAGATCGAAGCAGCTTTCTGCGGAAAAAAATGTGCCGAGATGCCACTGCCAGCGCTTCGGAGCCATCGAGCCAGTCTTGATTTGGTAATCCCTTGTACGTATAAACTGTATAAACCAGGTCAGTTCTTGCGATAACAACTTGGTCGCGCTGCCATTGCTGCCCTGGGTGTGCGAGTCAAAAGGATTGCGTGGAAAGTCGGTGCACCCAAGCAGTAGCGGCGCCACATGGAATGCTTACAGGGGTGGGCCCAGTGCCCGCACCTCAGCCCAGAAACGAGAACCTGGTCACCAGCTTTACTTGCTGTTGGCACCACTAAGGGCTGGTCCATTTGCGAGTCCAGTGATGCGCTCAGCTTTGTGTGAGATGTTTTCAGGAGCCACTGTTCAAAGGTTGCGCGTAAGGCCTTCAGAGTTTCGTGTCGCAGCACATCTTCACCATCACCAGGATTGCCGAAGATCCATGCAGATTCCAACCAACGTGCTTGGATTCCAGTTTACAAGTGGTGCGTCTGTTGTGTAACGTCATGGATGGCAGGATGACACAGGCGTCCACTGCATGACGCCTGAAGGCCTTTAGGCTTAGGCCCCGTCAGTGAAAGGCGTGACAGAGGCTCTGACCTCCGGCTCCGCTCAATGGGATTCGGAAGCTCCTTCGGCACCTCCCCTTCTTCCAACACCTATAGCCCCCAGGAATGTGATATCTAACTATGCTTTTTAAGTGCTCAATGACTTGCAACTTTCATAGCGCATCTTCTCGTTGATGTCAGCAATTGATACACCCAAAAACATAGAAATATTCAATCGGCTGTCGTTCGGGACTTGCGTCTACTCTTGAACGCCCCTCAACACGATCTCTAAATCCGATCGCTTGAGCCGCGTGCACATACTGTGGGCAGGTAGTTTAGTGCGCATAAGGCCCACTACCACCACCACGACCACGACCACGACCAGCACCACCACCACCACCACTACTACTACTGCTACTACTAGTACAGTGTACATGCATAGTTCCCGGCACTGATAACAGCACTGACAACAGTCATAACAGCAATGATAATGATAACATTCATAGCAGTAGCACTTAAACATAACACGACAGTAATGACCGTAACAACAGCATTGGCAATAAAAAGCAATAACAATAACAGCATAATTAACATGATCGCAATAACAGCAGCAGTAACAATCGGAATAGCAACAACGAGTAATCACCATAGCAATTGCAACGGCAGTCATTTAACTAGAATCACGACGGCGACGACGACGACATGCACAACAAGAACAAGAACAACAACAGTAACTCCAACAACAACAACAACCGGGCCGATATCAACCGTAACAGCAGTAACAGCAGCAATAGAAACAACAATACTCACAGCACTAGCAAAAGCCCCACATTGAAGCAGGCGGGCGCGAACACGTAACAACAGCACGCGCTATACAACAACAGCAAAAACAGCAACCTTCGCAACAGCCGCAACAACCGCAACAACAACATCAAAAAAAACACAGTAGCTTCAACAACAACGGCGACAACGACCACGACAACGACAGCGACAGCGACTGCAGCAGCAACAGCAACGCATGCGGTTAAAGCAACAAAAAAGCAATAAGAGCAATAGCGATAAGAACAAGAAAACATCATTGTCAATATTGGCATTACTGACAATGATAATGAGAATCATACTACAACAAATCCAACGACACTAATGCCATACATCAGTTAAAGAAGGAGAACAATAACAGCAACAACAACAACAACAACAACAACAACAACAACAACAACACTAACACTAGTAGTCGTAATAATCGCGACCGCACAGGTTTTCACCACAGAAATGTTGGACCCGCTTTAACATTCGGGGCCTCTAATAGAGATAAGTTTGCCGGCCTAATCAGGTACCCATACCTTGTTTGGGGTCTGTTTTCGGGATCTGTTTAAAGACAACTTTTTGGGCCGGACCGTTTTAATTTGTTGGGGGGGGTACGGGCCGTAACGGCCGCGGCCTCTTCCCCGGACCCCCTGGCAGGCCGGCCCACTCTTCAGGTTTTTTCAAGGTCAACTTGTTTTGCGGGGGGGTGGGGCAGATTGTAGCAGTTCCAAACTAGCAAGTTGTTCTTGTCTTGGTGGAGTCAAGTTCTGATTGGGCATGTGCGAAGGTCCATACTTCCTGATCATTCCCGTGCTGATTGCCAACATTCGCTACTTGATCTACGACTCGATTGTCAACCCGCAGGAGTTTGTCATTGCTTCTATGACAGGAGTGGACTAAAGGCCTTGAGCACGGAATCGTGACACGCTTGTTGTCTCAAGGCTTTCTGAAACTGGCACTGGCGAACTGCCCCGCGAGAGAAAGAACGTGGGTCTCGACTGAGAGAGATACTGGTTGGAATGGTTGGCGGCGTAGACTCAGCATGACCAGCATGACTCAGCCTTCACTCAGCATGCAGAGATCAGAGCTTGTCTGCAGTAGCGTGACATGTTCCCATGTGGTGGAGTGGATGTTCTTTACAATCTGAACGGTTGGATCCGAGGCTCACTAGAGCATCATTAGGAGACGTGCGTAAGGTTGTGAAGACTGTACTTGCCGTCGCCTGCCATTTGGCCCGGGGTGACCAGTAGCGTGGGACAACTCAAGCCATGTAAATGCAGTGGGATGGTTCCAGCCACCAAAGTTTCCGAGATGGCAGCTGCGGCAGCAAAAGTTGTAACATCAAGATTGCGCGGGCTCAACAAGCATGGAGTGCGGCCGTGGTGTTCCAGCTGCCGGTGTGAAGGAGTGATTGTTTCCCTGCTGCTGATGTCTTACCAGTTTAATTTTGCAAATTTGCAAATTCCATACAAAATCCAACGAAAATCCCCAGAGTTCCACGCATCATGCAACAAACACCATCAAGCCGATTTGTGCATTGTTGCTGAGCAACCAGTCGTGGTTGCCGCTGGTGTGGGATGCGCAGGCTGAGTTTGTGCCGCCTTGCACTGCGCCAACGCCGACGGCGCCTTCGCCAATGCCGTCACCGCAGATCCCAAGATTGGAGATGTTGAGGCCGGGTGTCATATGTATCTCACATGCAGTCCTAAACTTACAAAATGCTGAAGTTTCCCATGCACAGCTACGTAGCTAGCTACGTCCCGTGGGACACGTGCTTGCAGCATCCGCAGTGCTCAGTCGCAGTGTCTGTGTCGCAACAGGTTCCCAGAACAGCTTGACAAACGACATAGTTTGACCTTTTCGAGCCGGCTACATCCACCTACGCCTGGCTACGCCATGTTGAATGAAAAGGAATATCGAGGTCTGCTAAGCAGATACTTTCCTGGAGCAAGTGCTAAGTGTCACTAAGCGGTTCCACCACCGAGTACACAGCGAGACGCAGGCCGGATGCGCACAGTTCGGATGTCGTGCTGCCGTTGCCTGTGGGAGTCTCGGTGGGTTCGGCAGCAAAGCTTGTTGAAGGGACGGTTCTTGGCAGCTGTCGGCAGTTGTAAGCATGGCACACGGCTCAGCGTTTGTACTCGCTGCGAGCTTACCAGGTGTCTTTGGACCAGCTTTACTGTGGAGCTACGAGACGTGTCATCATCCCAATGTTGTTGATCTGCGAATTGGCTCTTGCGTGCCATCGTGTTCTCGCTGCAAATTTCGGGACTTGAGGTGCGTGTTCAAGCTGAGCAGCTGAAAAGGATTGCGAAGAAACTGTGGCAGGCACGTTCCTTGCTTTTGAGACTGCCTGCCCGACATGAAGCATAAACATGGCAGGATGTTTACGATGTGAAGATTCCTTGTGGTGCTCCAGACGGTCACCGAGTAACTTTCAAGGACAAGGCCAACTGCTTATAGGTTGTCGTGAACATGCTCATGCTCTCATGCGAAATCATAAAGAAACGCAAGTGACAGAGCACGCATGCTTTTGCCGACTCGCCTGCCTTTCGGACGTGCCGAGGGCTTCAGCAGTTTGGCTACGCCTGCCTGAGTGCTGCACAGGTCTGCGGAGGAGGGGACGTCGTCTTCGTTCTTCAGGTTTGCCCACGATCTGCCCAGAGCTAGTCAGCTGCAGGTAATTCGAAGCCCAATCGGCGGGAGCCTTTGCCAGGAGATGGAGCACAAGACCTGGGATCGCCAGGGCTGTAACTTGCGAAGTGCTGAGAGAAAGCGCCAGGCAACAATAACTTCCAAAGGGGAACAGAACAGTTTACATTTTACAGATGTAGATCAGATGTAGCCATGCTCATTGCAGCGGACTCAGGTTCATCCAGCAGAGTATCAGCTTGAGAGAGGCGCGGGCGCGGGATTTTGCAGCTCGTCACGTCGGGGGTGGTGCTTCTTCTTTTGTAGTCAAGCATCTGTCCGTGTCTGTCATAGGCGCTCTTGGGCTGCGAGCTGGTGATCGAGCATCTCGATGGGCGTAGGCCGAGTGATGTGAAAGTCGGAGCAACTCGGATCCTCTGACGTTGGAGGCTACTTGTTCGCTCCAAGCCCGGGGCGACCCTGGTGCCCAAGTGCAGCGAAGAGGTGGGCGCCGGGTCCCACTCTTGCTTCCCCCCTGCCTCCAAGATGCTCTGTTTCTCCCGCCCTGATGCTGTTTGTTGTGTTAAGGTTTGTTGATCCTGCATTATCCATATGTAGCACTTCATCTGATTTTTTGCTCTGTGCCGCCTCTTCAGCCCCGAAGCTTGCGATTGTTCACGAGGGGCCTTGGAGCCGCTTCGACGACTCGGACGCCTTTCCTGGCCAGGTGGGTCCGTGGCCTCGCTCTCCTCTTTTTTTGTTCTCTCTCTCTCTCTCTTCCTCTCTTCCCCTCTCTCTCTCTCTCTCTCTTTCTCTCTCTCTCTCTCTTTCTCTCTCTCTCTCTCTCTCTCTCTCTTTCTCTCTCTGCTTCTCTCTCTCCTTCGCTCTCTCCTTCGCTCTCTCTCTCTCTCGCTCTCCCTCTCTCTCTCTCTCTTTCTCTCTCTCTCTCTCTCTCTCTCTTTCTTTCTCTCTCTCTCTCTCTCTCTCTTTCTCTCTCTGCTTCTCTCTCTCCTTCGCTCTTTCCTTCGCTCTCTCTCTCGCTCTCCCTCTCTCTCTCTCTCTCGCGCTCTCTCTCTCTCGATCTCTCTCTCTCTCTCTCTCTCTGTCTCTCTCTCTCTCTCTCTCTCTCTCTTCTCGCGACTCTCGCTCTCTCTCTGTCTCTCTCGCTCCGTTTAGTGGCAGGATGCAGGCACAGCCAAGACGGGTGACCTGGAGTCCTGCAAAGCGCTGCCCTTTCTACCGGAATCTGTGCTGTGCTCTGCGTTTGCAGAAATCCGTTGGGCCCTAGGTTGTCCTTTGCCTCGTCCCAGGAAATCTGCCGACGGCATGGCTGGGCCGGCTTCACTTACTGGGAAGACAAAGCTTACTTCCGCGCGCAGGAGCGGCTCAATCGGAAGCGCGTCGGCCAGCGATTGCAGCTCGAGTATTCGGAGATTCAGAAAGAACTTGACAGTCGCATCCAAGCAGGTCTAGCTCCGGCTAGAGTTAGACATGCGCTACTTCTTTGCCGATGTACGACGGGACTAATTCAATAGGCAAAGCCGATTTGCATACTTACCATGTGCGGGACGCACTGGTGCACCAACCAAGCAATACTCCTGAATTGTAGAGACAGCCTTCTACGCTTGCAGAACCTCAAACAGGTGTCCGTGAAGGGAAGTGTCGTTGCAATCGCTACATTGCGAGCGGCAGGATCGGTCGATGCTGCTGAAGCACAGGAGGGCGCACAGCTCCTAAATGTTGCTCACCAGCGAGACATTGTCATAGCACTTGAGCAAGGTCTCGCGGATCCATCCTGTTCGTGCGCCCCCAGGCCAAGCAAATGCAGGCAGCGCCTGCGCGATGCTTCATTGTTGTGGAGTTTGTAAGTGTGCGAGAGATTCTAAACGATTGCTTCATGCAGCATGCCCTGCTGGGCTACGGGATGCCGCAGCTGGGCAAGCCATGGCTCCGTGGCGCTCGCCTGAGAACATGTGGGGAGTGACCGCTCCCCTTTCTTCCCAGCATACGAAGGCCACCTCTTTGTCCACCTGAAAGTCGACCTGACGGACGTTGGAGAAAAGGCACAGCAGCACAGCGCTGCATACACAGAGAGGTCCGACCAAGTGCGTCTGTTGTTTCTGATTGGAAAGTCAGTAAGGGCAAAGCCAAGCCCGAGACACCTTGTAGGCTCAGGCTCGCACCGTCTTCGGCCGTGTTCCCTTTCCTGCAGGTTGCGGCAGCTTTGCAGGCGCGGACGTGTTCAGTTCTGCCCATCTTGACATTCTTGGGAGCTCCTTTACAGGTTCATTTTTCAGTGTCAGGCATTGCAGCTGAGCATAAAGAATCCAGGGAGGTTTACCAGTACAGTACTGTCCGCCGCTGTCGTTGGCATCGCCACTCTGGAGACAGCTATGCACCGTGAGCCAAAGCATTCAGCTAAGAATCCTGGAAGTGCAACAACTAACAAGAGTTGCATCAGGGGTACAGCTTTGAATTGCTGACAAAAACGCCAAAAGCGCCTCCCAAGCCCCAAGCCCTACCATACACCCCCCCCCCCCCACGCGCGAAGAGTCTAAATAGAAGGACGCAAGGTCGGGTGTCAGAAACAGCGCTTCCCTTGCGGATGGATGGCCGACTTGGAGCCCTTCGAGCCGGAAGAGGCGCGAGAGCAAAAAGAGACCCCCGGAGCTCCCTTCTCCCCTTCCATTTGTTACGGGTTTTGGGGTTGAAGACATCAGCAATCACCAGCATTATGGCTGCTGTTCCAAGATTCCCATTGGTAGACCATGATTGCTATCGCTGTTGCTCTTAACAATCATTCTGAAGAGTGGTCTTATATGCATGATAATGTACCACTGTCATTTTTGCTCATTGTGACCTGTGGGTTGATGATCTTGATGGTTATCTCTGATCTGTCTTATCGGAATCGCGCCTTGATCTCAGGAAGCAGCCGGCCCATCGGGCCGTTCCGCAGGCTGCTGCTGCTGCTGCAAACGTGGCTCCCAAGCCCCCTCAGGTGCTTCCTGTCGCAGATCTCAAAGTAGAAGGGGCCCTGGCTCCATCTGGGCCCGAGGGCCGCCACGTTAGGGGAGTAAGGGTTCACAGCATTCGTTTCGTTCTCAGCTTTTTGTCAGGCGTTCGTGCCAGCGCTGATGAGCTGTTTTTGCTCACGAACAGCATCGACTGGTCGCAGAAGAAGCCCATCGTCACGCGGGAGGCCACGAGAGAAGAGAGGAGCCAAGGAGCTGCCAAAGGAGGGGCCTTTGTGAAAAATCAGGTCATCATTGGAGATGACAGCTGGGAGAAGGCTGCCAGTGGGCCCTGCCATGGGCCCTTGCCAAAACAGCTCGGATGTAGTGCCCTGGCCCTGGAAGGGCAGTCTGCTCCAAAGCGTCGGCTACGGGGAGAACGAGATCCGGCTCCGAGGGGGTCGCAACGCTGACTTGATAAAGAAGGCGTTGCAGGAGCCTCTAGATGCTATTCTTCGCTGCATGCTTGCTTACGATAATGCACACAGGAGCAAGTGAACAGATCAATAAAAACAGATAGATAGACATTTTTAGAAGATCGACAGGCAGACGAATCGATAGATCGGTAGAACCGGCACACAGTCGATACCTTGACATCGGCTTTCGATCTTATCAGGCCTTGATTGAGCCATATATACATAAAGCCCTCCGAAGAGTTGAAGCCTGTATAAGCCCTGACTGGACAATCCCAGAACTAACAGCCCACTAAGGACATCGAGCCCCTGCGTTTCGGATTTAGGTGGCTCTTGATTCCAAGTATCAAAGCATCGTCGCCCCTAAATCCAGCCTCCAGTTCCTTGATTCGGTGCTTTTGAAGCGAAGAACAAAAGCGAAGACAAATCGAGAAGAGCAAAGCAAGACATTGGCACGCCGAGGTCAGGGTATCCTGGAATTCTTTTTTCGTGCAGTTTGAATAATTTGTTTGCCACGGCTGCCCGACTTGAACCAATGATTTCTTAGGCAGTGCCGGTGCTGTAGATAGGTAGAGACCGGTAGCGATTGACAGATAAACACAGATAGATGGAGAGGTAGAGATATGATCGAGAGAGAGTGACGGACAGATAACTCAGAACTGCAGGAGACTCAAATACATCTTCAGTTCAAAGAAACAAAGGTCGGCCGTGTGTTCAATGTGTATGTACGTATGTGACGTATACTGGTAGGTTTGTACGCATGTATGCACGTATGTTTGTGTGATTCGTATGCATGCATGTGGGCATGTAAGCATGTAGTCAACTATTTAACCACGTCGCCATGCTGGCATGGATGGATGGATGGATGGATGGATGGATGGCCGGCCTTTGTGTGTGTTTGGGTGTGCGTGCATGTTGATATGCTCGTGTTTCGCTTTTACTGTACCTGCTGCATGTTGTTTGGTGCATACGCTTTAAAGCTCGCAGTTGCACTGACGCAGAGAGCGCGCACCTCGGCTCAGGAGCATATCGATGCAGACCGTGCCGGTCTCAAAGCGCTCAGTACCAGAATCTGCACTGTGGTCCCCTCTGCGGGCGTAGAATTCTGCCATCAGGCTCTTTGTGGGTTTCTTTGCGGAAGCACCGGGTCGCGTTGCAGCCTCAGAGCTGTCGAATTCGTCCAGCTTAGAGCACCAGAAAATCCTGCTCTTTCCGGCAGCCCTGCAACTGCATGGACGCACGAGCAGAGCAGAGTCTAATACTGTACTACATCAGTTTTGTATGAGCGGCACAGGATTCCCTGGCGCTGGGTGCTCCGCTGTCCCTGCCTTGTTTACTTGAGCACCCTCCTCGCCGTCTTTGCCCTGATTGGTATTGGCGTCGTGAGTGCCCCCATCAGTCTAAACACAAACTTCGTGCCTTGCTTGCATCCTACAAGCGCGTTTGTACTGCAATGTTGCCGTCGACAAATTACCGGCCGTTAGCGTGCTGCTTCAAGTGAGGATTCTCTCATGGAATCTGACAGCGCTGCATCGTTGAACTACGACGCAATTCTGCAGGCCAGTGGTTGCTTTTTGACCCGGTGGATTGCGTTGCTGCGACTGCTGCGGCTGTGCAGGCGATTCTTGATGCTCGCAGAGAACGTCAGGGCCGGCGTCTGTCACCAGGACTTCCTCTGCTTGAAACTGGGACCGAAAGGACATCCTGCACGAAGCAGGAGCCCCCGCCGGGCGCGGCCCGCGCCTGTGGAGCACTCCGGAGCGGAATGCCTCAGAGCTGGGGCTCACCGCGGAGGCCTGAGACGGCCCTTGACACTGTCTCCATCGATGAACTAAACTGAGCATAGAAACGACTAACTGTACAGTGAACAAGAATTGGCATTCATAGAGGTTTTAACTGGCGTGTTTGCAGGACGGCGAACCCGTCCAACCTGGCCGAAAGTTGCAGTCGAGACTGAAACTGCCCCTTGCCACAGATCGCCGAGGGCGCCGAATGCTGCTGAGACTTCACTCTACAGTGCGCGAAGGTACAAGCCATATCGCTTTGAGCTAACATATGTTCGGCGAGATGATGGCCCCCTGGCAGCCAAAAGAAGTCTCTCCAAAGCACGAAGCAAAGCACGACTTTAGATCGTGCGCGTTTGCCTTCGAAGGCAACGTCTTGAGCGCCTCCACGCTCGAATACATGAGGAGCCTCAGCGGAGCATCAGCTGGGGGAGCCTCCTGGTCCCCTCCTCTCTCTGCATGTCTTCTTCTAGGAGCATCGAGAAGGAGGTGAGGTCCATGGAGCCCTTCCGCAAGCTCTGCGAAACCGCCGAGCCGCGCCTTGGACGCGAAGAGGAGGTCGAGGTCTCGAGGTCAAGGACGGCCCTTTCTTTGTTTTTACTCTTTTCATCTGTTTACTTGGCCTTTTGGGAGGCGCTTCAAGCACCACTGCGATCCCGGAATCTCCATGGTGAACGTGATGTACCCCTTCTCCGTGCCCGACGGAGTGGATGCTAGACTCCTGGCGCATTTGGGAACCACTATCCATCGCAATTTTCAAGCGCTAGTCGGGTGCTCCCCATGCAAGGAATCTACTTCAACGGGACCGGCACGGCTTCCTTGCTGCCGGTGGCGGTGTCATTGGCTCAACAGGCATCAAACGAATCAAGCTCACAAGAGCTGCAAACAGGAACAGAGCAGGTTGCAAGACGGCGTCACGGCCCCGTCCTGTGGAGGAGCGATTGACCGAAGCCGTTTGGCCTGAAGGTTTGGCGAACGACGAGGCACGGAGACACGGAGAGAAAGCTGTGAGCTCTGCCCAAGGCTGCTCTTTTCGGTGACGAGCCAGAACCGGGCAGGTGAAGCTTGTTGGATCCAAGACTTGTGGCGACGGTGTTCCGGATTGCGCCAAATGGAAGGATGCGGGGCACTGCCTTCCAGGCAGGCACGAGCTTTCACCACTTTGAAGGGGAAGCTTCCCCGTGGTCTTGCTCTTTTTCGCAGGTGCTGCGCACGAGGTCTTCATGCAGGATGCTGCGGGGATGCAGTCCATGCTGCAGCGATATTTCATTACTTCATTCTTATTCATTTTTCTGTCTTCTACTCACTCTTCATGCCACGTGTAGCGGCTCGACACAGGATTTCTGCAAGGCGACTTGCGGCATCTGTGACGAGGTGCCTGAACAGGCAGGGTCTTGAGCGGTCTTCGCCGCAGTCTATGCTCTGCTTTGCATGCTCGCGTTGTGTTGAGTTGTGTGAGACATCATGAGACAGGAGTCTACTGCGGAGACTGCGGAAGGCGCGTCTCAGAATGTCACAAAGAGCGAGTTGCGATGGGTCTGGCGCCAGGTCCTACAGAAATCACCGCCCTCCGCTCCTACTTCGCTCTCCAAGCCTTCTGCTGCGAAGCAGGCGACTTCGGCCCGGAGAGAGACCCAGACCCGGTCAATCCCTAAATGTCTTTCCTTGCCTTGGCCCTTTTGAGAACCTCGGCCTCTGCTCGAGAGGCGAGCCTGGTCAGGGACAAATCGTCAGCGAAATGGATGCCGTCTGGAACGACTTTGCCTCTTGGATCCACAGAGCTTCAAGCATCTGCGACTGCTGTAGACACTGCTGAGCTGCTGAGAAGCCATCTCTTAGCCGCACGAGGTTGCAGAGCTGGTGGATCTGCTTACCCAAAAGAACGCGAATCGCGGCGCGGTGCGAGTCTTCTTCTCGGGTGACGGCATCTCATCTTATGAGACCTTTGCTGCCGTGGGTGGCGATGCCATGTTCGACACTTGTCAGAGCGCTAGTAAGACAACAGCCGAGCTAAAGCCGACT